CCCGCCAAAAATGACACCTCGGAATATGTAAGAAAAGTTCAAGAAAAAGTAGCTCGGATTGTCGCTCGATGCGCCCTTCGGTCGGATGACAGGCAGAAGAAAAATCCGGGTTGTTCATATATATAATTTCTTGCCGTGAATTCAGTGAACAAAAACTGGTTCTTCAAGTGATGAAAATGAAGAATGTGGCAAAATAATCATGGTTATTTCATATATAATACTTGACCTTACTCCACTACAGGATAATACAAGATCTAATACTCCTAACACTACAGCTACATGTATGTATAGCGAGCTCAATACAGTACATTTTACCGGGAATTAAAGGGATATCTTCTCATTTTCATGAGAGAGGTTTCATTTTTGGTTGACATTAAGTAATAAATTTATTTATGCAGAGCAGTAATGAACTAGAATAGGAAGTTTTCAAATGGCCTATTCACTTCTTTTCAATTCTATTCACTTCTCTGAGTCATAATGACCCCAGAACCGTATTATAATCCAATAAAATATTTAAATTATATTTGCTCATATATTTTAGAGTCGGCGCAATGGAGAGAGTGAGAGATCGCCGGTCGTGTTTGAACGATGCGTGATTGTGCGATGAATCAAAGCTTGTAATATTTGCTCTCTATTAAAAAGTCTTCCTCGCTTAATTGCTTCAGAGTGAGCTATCTTTGAGCTCCCATGATGTTTACCGTGTCGATAAAAGATTTAGATTTTTCATTCGACTTCAAAACTTTTCATTTGTAGTAAATGCGCTGGTGCAGAATTTTTGGGTGGTACCTAGCAGATTTTCAATATTTTTCCCGAAAAATGATAGCGATTACTGATTGCTTTTAAGTTTGACTGATCGATGGAAAACTGAATTTTAAAATCTCAGAATGAACGGGCTATCATAAGTCCAATAATTATTTATTAAAATTGCTTGATCCAGCCCTCAGTAAATAGAAGCTTGAGTTGAGCCTTTCAGTGAGGCGGATGACCTAATATGAAATTGGCTTTAACATTTTTAAGTGAACCAAGTTATCTACTATTTTATTTGTAAGCTATTAGAGTTTTACTCTAATTCCAATTGCAAGGCATAATTATTTACGGCAAATGAGCTAACACTCGGATGAAAGTAGATGTCATCAAAATGTTATTTCCAAAGTTACGGGCTAAAGGCAAACCAAAAACTCTACCTAAAAATTACTGTTGCAGTCAAATTGAATAAATAATCATAAGAGTAGTCCGATTTTAAACAAGTTTAACATACAAACAGGATGTTAGAAAAGTTGACCATAAATTAGGTATTTGAACTTAGAAGATTTATAGCACAATATAGTCGGAAGTTTTATAAAATTTAATTTTCGAAAATAACCTTTGATTTTGGAGGGCAACACCGCACTTCACATGACCGTATATTATTAATATCCACTTAATCACTCCATTATTCCGAAAGAATAGGATAGAATATTTATAATGGAGGGCAACACAGCTCTTCACATGGCCGTGTATCAATATAAACTTAATCACCCTTATTATTCCGATAGAGAAAGAACCGAATATTTACATTTGGAGGGAAATATAGCTCTTACCATGGCCGTGTATTAATTAATATACACTTAATCACCCTCGTTATTCCAAAAGAGAAAGGACTGAACATTTATACTGAGAGGGCAACATAGCTCTTCCCGTAGCCATGTATTAATTATTATACACTTAACCACCCCCGCTACTCCGAAATCAAAATGGCAGAATATTTCCATTTTATCAGATATAATGGCCGAGCAGTCACCGCATATCGAGATATCGCGCAGAACGAGCGGGCCGTCACTCGAAGGAAGCGTTTGTAATAAAAGCGGACGGACGAACTGGAAATTGCACCGCGTCCAGAGAGCCGTCCGCTCTTTTTTATTATTTGTCGCACTCGAGTTTGGACGGAAAAAAATGCCTCTACAGGGCTTCAAATGAAGCCAACTTCTCGGGATGAAGTTTACTGGCAGCGTCTCTTGCAGGACAAGTTTTGTTATTTAAGATATGAAAGTTAGTTCTGCTGTGAAGAACGATTTGCATTCGAAAACCCTCTAAAGGACCGTACTTTTATTTTTTGCTACAGCTAACTCTACGCAAACATTATTAAATTACATTTTTTTGGAACAGGTGGCGTGGTAAGATTTTTACGATAAGATTCTTCTAACAATTAATGAAAATTATTCCCCTGCATGAAACAAAAGGTGCGATCTTTGAACAATTCAGGTAACTACTTTTAAACGAAAAAATAGCTTCACACCATTGAGAAGTGCATAATTTGCACTAGTCAAATCATGTTTTACAAAGTCTACTGACAGTAAAAGTTCAAGGTTAAAGTAGTAAACTAGAATCCAATACACAGATCATGTAAGTAAGACTACCTTAGTATGCAAAAGATCACTCTCGAAACACTCACAGATGAGGATAGAAAATTAATGAGACTAGATATGTATTTGAACGTATTACCTCTTTTTTTTACATCCACTTCCAATCAGACTTTTTAGCTGGAATTCATCCATATAATACGAAATTATTACATAGATAACAAGGATTATATTGCGATACCAAGTACATGCGTGCAGAATTACGACATGCATCAGCAAAAGAGCACTTGTAATCTTGTAATGAGACGAAGTGCAGCCGTAGAGTTGTCTGAAGTTGGTCGCAAGTGTTCTAAACTGTCCCCTAACAGGCCTATTAAGAACAACTTCTGCCTTCGCATGCTGACGCGGCACTTTGTAGCGACTGCCTCGGAACTTCTCCTTAATGCGACACTGAGCTTATGACGGGAGCCATCGTGCAACGACACATCGTTTACACCCGTTGACGATTTAGTTACATCAAAGCTGTTCAGTGTTATTCAAATGAGTATTCAAAGCCGTCAAAATCAAATCATAATAAAATTAAGTTAATTAATTCTAAATGAAATTCGACTAATTCTAAAGTAAGAATTTTGGCTTGTCTTTTCGCCGTTTCTGAGCACCGAATACTCTGACGAAATGTAGACTCAAAAAAATGAGCGAGACCTATTGTCAAAATAGTGACACTTGCAACGTGTAGGACCAATAGGTCATTTTCTCCGAGCCAAACTGAGTCAAGATGGCCCGCATGAAGACAGAAATAAATCACTGTTTGGACAAAGTCACATTAATTTCTCAAAGTCTACACTGTACACTCAACCTACGGCGCGCTAATTTACCGTAAGTTCAAGCGCTGGCCATACAGAATAATTTGACAAAATAAACAAAATTGAAGTACAAAACGTAAACTTTGTCACGATTCCAGATAAATTTAGCATAACACATACATACACAAAATTTGTCATAAAAAAGGTAGCTGAAATAAGTTAAATTTTTACGGCTTTGCCATAGTGAAGTAGTACAGTGTCCGCGGTCCAGGGAAAAAAGATGCCATCGGGAGAAAACGTGTACGTATATACGACGACGACCGGTACAAAGCTAGCCAGGGGCGCCCTGGGCCCTTCATAGATATTAATATTGCAGAGATATCTTCCTTTGGTAATGCAATATGGGGAGCTCTTAAGACAGCGTCAGCGCTGGTCACAGGAGACCGAGTCGACTGTCATTTCTTCTAGTGTGTCAGAGAGCTTTCGAGTCTCCGTGGAGTTTTAGACAAATTGACAATTTTTAAAGCATCTTCGGAAGAAGAAGTCGTTCTTTGAGAAACTGGATGATGCGGCGAACGTGTTCCGCTTCGCAGTGCTGCCAATGAGATCATAACCAGAAAAATTTTCTCACATTTACAAAGAAAAATGATGGAAAAAATGTTACTTGTTCGGAACCTAAAACGTTAAGTGGAATTCGAGATTACTAGAAATTTTGTCGTCACTTTCGACGATTAGTCATTGATGTTCGTATGGCCAATATCAAGTAAACCTTCGACGAAATCCTGTGATAATGTTCGAGACAGAGAAATTCTAAAGAATTTTTCGTCGTGAAAGAAAATTTAACACAAACACAGAACTTCAGTAGTGTTGGCAGCATTCATGAAGTATTTTCGACAACAGCATCAGCGACCATTTTTGTGGCAAGACACAAGTTTATACAGGGCTGAATACCCGTCCATTAAAACAGCTTGGCCACTTTACCAATGCCAACACAAGGACTGCCGCTTCTATCAAGTGAAAATTCGATTAGAATTGCTCATTTAATACAATAATTTCACGACAAGAATGGTTACTTTTCTCTTATACACATCTAGATGTGTATAAGAGACAGGGACAGAATATTTATAATTGGAGGGCAACACAGCTCTCCGCATGACCGTGTATTAATATCCACTTAATCACCTTCGTTATTCCGATAGAGAAAGAACAGAATATTTACATTTGGAGGGCAAGATAGCTCTTACCGTAACCATGTATTAATTAATATACACTTAATCACTCTCGTTATTCCAAAAGAGAAAGGACTGAACATTTATACTGAGAGGGCAACATAGCTCTTCCCGTAGCCATGTATTAATTATTATACACTTAACCACCCCCGCTACTCCGAAATCAAAATGGCAGAATATTTCCATTTTATCAGATATAATGCCCTGTCTCTTATACACATCTAGATGTGTATAAGAGACTTAAATAAACTACAAGAAGGGCTATGAACGCATTAAGCCGCGACTCCAAAAAGAAACTAGAACATAAACTCATTCCAAGTAATTCTAAACCAAGAATACGAATTATCATATTAAAGATCAAATTAGAAGAATAAATCACAGAATATTCACAACTATTAATAGGGTTATAATAAAGAACCTTCAACCCTGTCATCCTACGATCATCAGTATTAATCAAGCCTAAGTAACATCAGTAACAATCTAAGGGTAAAATAAGAAATATAATAACCGTAATACGAAACTAAATAATAATGCAGTACATAATGCGTCAATTTAACACCATACGGCGAATTGAGTTTCATCTCGCGCTAATGGCTCAACTCCATATGCGAAATGCAGATTTCCATCCATCATCCATCAGTCCCGTTCTGTGCCACGGCCGGCTCGTCCCCGTACGCTGCGTGGTGGATCGCCCGGTCACCGTCTTTGTCCTGAGAAAAAGACGGCAAATTGACAGATTTTCTAAATAATCGCGCGGTCACCACCGTCTTTGTCCTGAGAAAAAAAAGACAAATTGACAGACTTTTTTTCTTTTAAAGATAAAAAGACAAATTGAGAGATATTTTTTTCATTTAAACGCGCGGTCGAAGTTTTTGTCCTGAGAAAAAACTACGGCAAATTGACAGGTTTTTTACGTAATCGCGCGGTCACCGTCTGTCCTGAGAAAAAACGGTAAATTAAGAGATTTTTTATTTCATCTAGCGGTCGCGGTCTTTGTCCTGAGAAAAAAGACAAATTGATCAGCCATTGAACAACTTCTATCAGCCATTGAACAATTTCCATCAGTCATTAAAGTAATTGCCAGGTCATTCAACCATTTGCTAGGCTCCTTTTTTTGCAGGCGTTTTGACAATTTTAGGGGCTGTGAACTTTTTGCACAAACATTCCATAATTTTTTCGCCCATTAACGTAACGCTCAACAATTATTAAACGAAAATGATCAAGTACTTAATGGTGCAGTCGCGGTTTCATTATCTCAATATGTGTAGATAATCCAATCCCACTAAGCTGAATAATTAAATATATTTTCACGTTTAGGAAGTAGTTATGAACCCAGAAATGTATAATCGCGTGAATAAAAATAAAACTTCACTATAAATTTACTTCCTTTATTTGTACGCAATTTTTCAAAGCTGCACATATTCTTCGCTACAAACCATTTTAGCATTTCTCCTTCTTGAGGCTGCCGTTCTGACTGGCCGCATCATAAATAAGCCTTCCCATATAGAAATAAGCCTCATATCATTATAACTTATAAATATAATTATATATATAAATAAGCCTTACAACATAATAACATATCAATATAATTATTTATAATAAACTAACCTCCTTCTCAAGATGCGCGTGATGACGCAGCAGTACGGCTATCACCTCCAAGTGACCGTTCTGGCTGGCCGCCTCATAAATAAGCCTTACCTTATAAAAATAGGCCTCGCATCATAATAACCAATTAATATAATTATATACAATAAGCTAACCTCTTCTCGAGATGGCCGTTCTGGCTGGCCGCATCATAAATAAGCCTTATCTTGTAAAATAAGCTTTACATCATCACGTTTTCAAAAGAGATATGCTAAATTTTTGTGGTGTTTTCTTTNATGCGCGCTGTCTCACGGCAGCCTAGGATGACAGCAGCTGTAAATGCGCGCTGTCTCACAGCAACCTAAGATGACAGCAGCTGTAAATGCGCGCTGTCTCACGGCAACCTAAGATGACAGCAGCTGTAAATGCTTGCTGTCTCACAGCATCTGTAAATGCTTGCTGTCTCACAGCAACCTAAGATGACAGCAGCTGTAAACGCTTGTTCGATGCAGTGGATCTCAATATTTGATACACGTGTTGCAAGTTGTTAAGGGAAAGCCTGTTAGGTAAAGTTCTTGAACACTTCTGGGTTCATCCACATTTCACGATTTTTGGTTAGCCACTTTTAAAAGAAAAAATTTATTTACTGCCTAACACAAGACAATCTGGCAACGATTTGCAACTGCACACCCAGAAAATTTTTGGGTCATACTGTTCTAATACTGACATACTCTCTGCACGTATCTCAGATACGGGTTGTGGCTAAACTGGGTTAGGATGACCCACACAAGAACATGAGGTGCATCGCTATATGGACAAAGTCTCACCAACTTCTCTGTTTGTGCAAACCAAATGCTAATCTCCAGGTCCAATCGGACCACTATATAGAAAATTCAAACATTACACCTTCCTAATACTTCGGTTATTGACGCATTCAGTAACATTTTATATAAATAATTCTAATTATGAACGATTAATATGTATTATCAGTTGGTGATTCACGGCGACTGTACGTGAACAGCAAGTGATACTCAATCACATAAAGGCCTGGGGCCATACTTTCAAAACTCGCTAAGTGAACGTAAGTACTTACGCTCTATTATATTGTATATAATTGGTGGATTTTGCTTGAAAGGCCGTCAATGATTGGCGGATGAACTTACGATCTCTTGACTTTTTTTTGAAAGTATAGGCCCTGGATACGCGGGTTTATTGGAACTGCAGTGCTCGGGTAGTTGACATATGCAAATACTGGCTCGGCACTTGAGTAAACGAATGTACATAAACCAATGTGGCATCCGACAAAACAAGCTATTCGATTTTTTGGAACCCACGTATTGCATAAAAGGACGAAACTTTTCTAGTTTGAATCGTATTTATATAAAGAATTTAGTATACATAATTAATTCAGCTATTTCAACCTTAATAGTGAACCGTCATCAATGCAGCTTCACCGATTTAATTATTGGGCAAATGCACGTACACAAACTAAACCTACTCATGAGAGCCTCAGATCGAGAGCTGTTTTTCAAACAATTATTTCATTTCCCAATTGAACGCATAATATTTGTACCTAGATGACAGAATGCATAGAGTGGAGTGCCGCTGAGATTTTCTCCTTGTTCGCTTAGCAACGTAACAAGTTTTTCACAACGAAACTTAGCGACCGAGCGACTATCCCGACACTCATTTCTGGACATTTTTGCGCCATTTCTGGACATTTTTTGTGCCATTTTTGGGCCTTTTAAAGGCATTTTTGAGGCTTTTAATTGTCAGTTTGCGAGCCAATTTCTCTGAGGGCCTGTCGTCCACACCCTTTAAAAATACATCTGCTTTCCACGCCACATGAGGGGTCCTTTTTTCGGCTAAATAAAAACTTGCACCCTAACAAACAAGACAAAAAGGAATCGAAATGAACACACTTTTTGAGAGACATCGAAACAGAGGAAAAATTTAAGAAATTTATAATTAATGCTGACGTTTTTGTGGGACTGTAAAGCCCGTTTGCTTGGCAATGTACACATTCAATTATACGAGTACAAATATTTTTCTGGGAAATTTTTCACGATAAATTTGCGGGAAACTTGAGTACTTAAAAATAAATAATTTTTTCCGTAATCAGTACACTCAAATATTTCCTTAGGTTTCCATTAATGCACAAAATATTTCTAACAGACAATCGATGTACGGCGTTAGTCACAAGCCTAATATAAAAATATGGACAGATGAAACACAGAAGTAACCAGCCTTTTGAGTTATTAACTCTTTAAACTAACTTTAAACAATACACTGTTAGAAAAAACGGCGAAAAAACGGTCCCACTGGCATTCTAGTGGCTGGTCGCCCCGTGAAAATAAACTGTTTCGCCGTTTTTATCAGATGTTTACGGATTCCTAGTGTTAAATTGGAATAAAAACGGTGACACTGTGTTTCTTTTCACGTGCCGACCGGCCACTGAAACGCCCGTAATGATTCTCTACCCTACGTATAGATTCGACCCTAAAAAACGGTCAGTAAAATAAGCAAACGAAAAAGATGCTGTGATTCTCTACCCTACGTATAGATACGACCCTAAAGAAACCGTAAGCATAAAACGGAAAACGAAAAAGATGCTGTGATTCTCTACCCTAAGTATAGATTCGACACTGAATAAACGGTCAGTATAACAGGATTTTCCTGCAAGTTTGCATCATTGTTCGTAGACACTGAAGAAACGGTCAGTATAACAGGACTTTCCTGCAAGTTTGCATCAGTGTTCGTATTCCCTTTAGCGGCAAGCAAAGTCGGGACCTAGAAACGGCCTAAACTCAGCACCTCGAAACGGCCTAAATTTGAGAGCGCGAATCCCTTAATTCCCGTTGCCGGTGCCAGTTTCCGAGACTGTCCCTTGACAACTCCTAATGTTCGTCCTAATGATTCCTGCGAGCCTTGGTGCCAGCCATTGCAGAGCACAAAGGTGCATCGAGCTTTCGTCCGACACGAGACTGTCATTACTGCACCTGGTAGCTACGTCCACTGAATCTCAGTGAGTCTTGCACCTGATAACGTGTGCTCAGGTGCCTTTGCAACAGAGATTCAGCCTTGCACCTGATAACGTGTGCTCAGGTGTTTTTGGAACAGTGTCTTGCACCTGATAACGTGTGCTCAGGTGCCTTTGGAACAGTTTCGTCAAGCGAAAGCATTGCTTTCAGGAATTATTAATATTAATTGGTTGTGCAAGCGTAAATATTAGGATGTGATAGCCCAAGACTGATTGAGCCAACATTTATTTTAATTTCATCCGTGTAGTATCCGTTAATATTACGATGTGGCGGCTCCTACATTATTTCTGATGTTACTTATAATCATTCAATCATACTCTCTGGTGATATAACCTAATGCCACCAACATGCGACAACCTCGTATCAATAAGAACATATATTATTTGGGCTATAAATCTATAACCACATCAATAACGTGGTCGAGGATTTTTTCTTGGTTTACTTGGTTACATAACATAGCTAATAAATATGGCACTGAAGCTTAACGCTCTCAGCATAAACTTGTATCCCCCAAAAATGTATAACTTACCTTGGTTTGCCGCACTATGAAGACGACATACCTGCGCAAAAATCATAAACGGGTATTAGCACATGAACAAATTGTTTTCAAATTATCTTTACTGGCAGCAGAAAAATAAAACCACCACGAACCGAACAATTGTACGTGGATTGGCAATCATCATGTAAGATATAACAGGTCTGGAATTGCTAAAAAAAAGATTAACACATCAATGAAAATTATTTCGTTAATTGGTTAACATCGAAAGTTCACCAAGACTTTAAAAGCAAACAAACCGTCAACAAGATTCACCATATCTCGGAAACCAGCTCCATTATTTATTCAAAACAAATAAAAAAGGGTACAATCATCAGCGAAACATCAAATAAACACGAAAAAAAACAAAACCTAAGTGACGGTAAAACGACAACGGAACCTAAAACCTGTTAATTTACAACTTCATAAGGAAAAAAACAGGGAGGATAAAAAAAAGGTGGGGCCACACTCTTTCAGGACGTGCAAAAATATACTCAATAAATCAATGCAAATCTATCGTTATATTAATGAGAATAATTTGCTGATATGTACGAAAAAAGTTTGAATCGAGAAAACTCAGAAGAGAAATCAAAGAGATTGTTGAGAACCATTTTAAAAACAGACAATGCCAGTGAAAACAAGCATTGCGGAGTGAAAATTTTAGGAACTGGAGAAACATTTAATAGAACAGAAACCTGAGAACTCGCTAAACTCAGCAGAAGCTACCACAAGACTAACGCCATTTAGACCTTCACTAAACTATCCACACAAACACACTAAACTAACGCCACACAAACTCCCACACAACAAAACTTACCATAACCTAACTTCACACACACCTACACAGGTACTGTTTACATCGCATTAACCCTCCCACAACAAAACGTCATTCAAGCCACACGTAAAAAAATTTCACAAAACCGTGACTGCAACCCGAGGGTCCTGACGGAAAACCATACAAAAGAGGGCAGTGAGAGTACTTAAGTGAGGGCACATAAGTGAGGACAAAGAGGGCACACAAGTGAGGACAGTGATGGCACACAAGTGAGGTAGGGCAGTGAGGGCACACAAGTGAGGGCAGTGAGGGCACACAAGTGAGGACAGTAAGGGCACACAAGTGAGGACAGTAAGGGCACACAAGTGAGGGCAGTGAGGGCACAAAAGTGAAGGCACACCTCGGGTTGCCGCGCAGAGCAGCATGGTGCAGAGCGTTAAAGCCGTTGTTGTTGGTAAGTGTGATGTAAGTTAAGAGACACAAGACACACAAGTCAAGACACACAACACACACATGTCAAGACACACAAGACACACACACAAGACACACAACACACCTCGGGTTGCCGCGCAGAGCAGCATGGTGCAGAGCATTAAAGCCGTTGTTGTTGGTAAGTGTGATGTAAGTTAAGACACACAAGACACACAAGTCAAGACACACAACACACACATGTCAAGACACACAAGACACACACACAAGACACACAAGACACCTCGGGTTGCCGCGCAGAGCAGCATGGTGCAGAGCGTTGAAGCCGTTGTTGTTGGTAAGTGCGATGTAAGTTAAGACACACACGTCAAGACTATCATAAACAAATCAGTGCGTTAATTTCGATATAACATACAATTGTTTATAAATATTTAAATTACTCGCTTCAACTTTTATTAATAGCTATTATCTACTATTATCCCTATGCTACAATACTATAGTAGTATATACTATAGGTACATTTTTCTTCGGGATCCTAAAGAAATAAATACGTTTATTTCACAATATCCTAATCCTGTTGACATTTATTCAGTTTACACCCATTTAACTGGCTTTTTCTCATCCATGAGTTAAATTAGTTATATTTGAATTATTTGGCAGTAGTACCGTTTTCTTCGTGATACAAAACTAATAAATGCGTTTATTTCACTGCGTCACCCTCTTTTTAATATGTATTCTTATTGACTCGGCCCTATTTTACCTAGCCATTTCCGAGCCCATTTATTTTATTCATTATTCTATGTATCCATTTATTCCATTGGATGATTCAATCCATTTATTATATTCAAGTTCTATTTATTATTTTCCATTTCATGTGTTAGTATTACCACTGTATTAGTACTATTCCCTTCGTGATCCACACTTTCAGAACTTGTTCAAGTATATATGCTTCCATTTGAATAATTTTCATTCAACCCACTGCATAGGAACAATTAATGCTAACAATGCTCCCAAACGTAATGCTACAACGAACAGTAAAAACATCAATGCTCTTAACTTTTGGTGTTCCTCATCTTGCAAAATAAATTACTGGCTTGAACTTCTGAAGTTCAAACAGCCACGTTTAAGTATGAAAAAAAAACAATTCCTCTGCCTTTATTAGTAGTTATTATTAAAATGGCCTTTATTAGTTTAGCGGAATAATAATACAATGTTATACAGACGCTTATTTGCAGAATACAAACGATCAGATATAAAAATTCTAAATTTTTCAAAGTATTTATATCTGATTCAAATGCAAAACACGTTCAAGATAAAAGCAAATATTTATACAACAAAATAAGAGCGTTGAAATAGAGGGGTCTGACATGCAGTGAGGGTCTGACATGCAGTGAGGGGTCTGACATGCAGTGAGGGGTCTGACATGCAGTGAGGGTTCTGACATGCAGTGAGGGTCTGACCTGCAGTGAGGGGTCTGACGTGCAGTGAGGGTCTGACATGCAGTGAGGGGTCTGACATGCAGCGAGGGGTCTGACATGCAGTGAGGGGTCTGACATGCAGTGNCTAATTAATCGCGCGGTCACCGTCTTTGTCCTGAAAAATAACGATAAATTGACAGGTTTTTTATGTAATCGCGCGGTCACCGTCTTTGTCCTGAAAAATAACGATAAATTGACAGGTTTTTTTCATTGCATCGCGCGGTAGGCTTCTGTATGCTGAGAAAAAATCGATAGATTAAAAGATTTTTCTTTTAAACGCGCGGTCCCTGTTTTTGTCCTGAGAAAAAAGACGGCAAATTTACAGATTTTTTATTTCATCGCGGGTCGCCATCGTTTTCCTGAATGATATAGCCATTGAACAATTTCCATCAGCCATTGAACAATTTCCATCAGCTATTGAACAATTTCCATCAGCCATTGAACAATTTCCATCAGCCATTGAACAATTTCCATCAGCCATTGAATAATTTCCATCAGCCATTGAATAATTTCCATCAGCCATTGAATAATTTCCATCAGCCATTGAATAATTTCCATCAGCCATTGAACAATTTCCTTCAGCCATTAAAAACACATTAATATAATTATATACAGTAAGCTGACCTCCTTCTCGAGATGGCCGTTCTGACTGGCCGCATCATAAATAAACCTTACCATATAAAAATAGGAGCCTCATATCATAATAACTTATTAATATAATTATATAAATAAGCCTTAGAACATAATAACCAATTAATATAATTACATACAATAAACTAACCTCTTTCTCAAGGTGTGCATGATGACGCAGCAGTACGGCTATCACCTCCAAGTGACCGTTCTGACTGGCCGCATCGTAAATAAACCTTACCTTATAAAATAAGCTTTACATCATAAAATAAGCCTTACAACATAATAACATATCAATATAATTATTTATAATAAACTAACCTCCTTCTCAAGATGCGCGTGATGACGCAGCAGTACGGCTATCACCTCCAAGTGACCGTTCTGGCTGGCCGCCTCATAAATAAGCCTTACCTTATAAAAATAGGCCTCGCATCATAATAACCAATTAATATAATTATATACAATAAGCTAACCTCTTCTCGAGATGGCCGTTCTGGCTGGCCGCATCATAAATAAGCCTTATCTTGTAAAATAAGCTTTACATCATCACGTTTTCAAAAGAGATATGCTAAATTTTTGTGGTGTTTTCTTTGCTTTTAAATTTCTAGTAAAATAAGCCTTATAACGTAATAACTTATAATTATAATTGATTAATTACATACAATAAACTGACCTCCTTCTCAAGATGCGCGTGATGACGCAGCAGTACGGCTATCACCTCCAAGTGGCCGTTCTGACTGGCCGCTTGTAGCGCCGTGTGGCCGGCAAACACGCCGTCCACGTCCGCGTCGCTGTTGCTGCTTAAAATTTCTTCCACCTGTAACACATATTAAAATAATTATACATAATTATTCAAAATTTCTTCTACCTGTAACATATATTATAATAATTATACATAATTATTAACTCAAATAATTTGTTATTTTTATCGAACAAACCACTATATTATGAATTAACTATTAATACGTACTTACTAGTTATAATTGAAAATTCGCCGAATTTACTGCGTAATAATAATGAACTAAAAAATATTCAGAGTAGAACTGAGCTGAAAAATATTCATCTGTACTGAAATTCGCAAATAACTGGCTTGTAACTCAGTCAACTTTTTGCATCGAATGAAATTTTGAAGAAGTTACAATTTCAGATATCCCTGAAACAATTGCGGAAAATTCCATAACATAATTGATTCTCGCCACCACGACTTTTCAATCCAGCAATTATCCAAAATAAAACTGAATCAAACCATTCAATGCCAGCGCTGTTCTGCTTGTTATAAATGATAAATTTTAACTAAGAACACTGTCTCACAGTAGTTTAAAGATAAAATAATATGCTAAAAAAATGTTGATTTCATATCTAAACCCTTCATCGATTTTAGGTAAAAAATGAAAAGTCACATTTCCAATGATGAAGTCACATCAAAACCCTTTATCATTTCAAGTACAAATAAAAAAATCACGTTTTTTAAGATTAAATTCACACCAAAACCCTTCATTATTTTAGTTAAAAAAATAAATTCGATGTTAAATTCACATCAAAAACCTTCATAATTTTAGTTAAAAAAATAAATTCAATGTTAAATTCACATCAAAACATTTCATAAATTTAGGTAAAAATAAAAAGTTACGTTAATAAACATAGAAATCCTTCATTATTTTAGTTAAAAAAATTAATTCAATATTAAATTCACATCAAAACCCTGCATAATTATAGGTAAAAAAATAAAATGTTACGTTAACACACATAGAAATCCTCCATCATTTTAGTTAAAAAAATAAATTCAACGTTAAATTCATATCAAAACCGTTAATAATTTTAGGTGAAAATAAAAAGTTATGTTAATTCGCAGCAAAACCCTTCATCCTTAGATATAAATAAATCCTGATCACCTTCTGAGCGTCGCCGGTAGCAGCAGCCTTGACCAGCTCCTCGTTGAGGTCGCCAGAGACGTGGGCCTCGAATATCTTCTTCAGCAGCGCGCTCAGACGCTCTGTACAACACGTTATCTTGTTTATTGCTGATAAATGTGATTTATTATTATCATTTATCGTTATTGTCATTTATTATCATTTATAGTTGTCGTCATTTATTATCATTTATAGTTGTCGTCATTTATTATTGTAATTTATGGTTGTCGTCATTTATTATTGTCATTTATCGTTGCTGTCATTTATCATTGTTGTAATTTATCCTTGTTGCTATTTATCGTCGTTGTCATTTATTGTTGTTGTTGTCATTTATTGTTGTTGTTATCATTTATCATTGTTGTCAATTATCGTTGTTGTCATTTATCGTTGTTGTCATTTATCATTGTTGTCATTTATCGTTGTTGTCAGTTATCGTTGTTGTCATTTATCATTGTTGTCATTTATCGTTGTTGTCATTTATAGTTGTTGTCAGTTATAGTTAAGACAGTGTGCATTAATTTTACCATGAGAAACAAAAAATCATAGGCATTGATTTCCATTATTTCATTATATGTACATTTTTTTCAGAATGAAACACGTACAGTTAATGGCTAGACAATTCACTATATTCCAATTTTCGGGGAGTCGAAAAATTCTTCGTTTAAGTATTTGTTGTTGTCGTGGTTGTTAGTCCAATTACTCAAATCTAGTCCAAATAATGAAGAAGTCTACAACCTTCTTTGAAACAAAATTTACAGATTACATCGGCTTCTTGGAGAACTCCCGCTTTTTTGCAGTGTGAATAGTAGCGTCTAGTCCAGAGCTCGACGTTGTTGTCAAGGGTGTCACCAAGCCATTTGAAACGCCGTTAAACATATTATAAAAGTACTTGCTGAGACCTGCATTTTGATCTATTAACGTCATCAGAATAATTTTTCGACTCCCCGAAAATTGGAATATAATGCATTGTCTGGCCAAGAAAATTCTGCAATCTAATACCAATTATTTTTCATGTTCACGCTATTTCATTACATGTACACTTCCAACTGATTGTCACTGCCACTCAACGATAACTCCTATCGCCCACATTTCAATTAAAGATTATCTTACTATATACGCAGTATTAAGTTAAATATATAGGCATAGTTTCCACTGATCACCACTAGCAGTGCCGGGAAGTATCGTCCCAGACGCCATTTTAGCGACAAATGATAGCTTGAAGATCAGCGGTAAATCCAATAACTCACATTTCAATTATGGATTATTTTACTATAAACACATTATTTAGTTAAATATATAAATAGTTTGCACTGACCACCACTAGCAGTGCCGGGAAGTGCGGCCTCGGACGCCACTTTAGTGACGGCTGAAGGGTTGTATGTCCACGGTAAATCCTATCGCTCACATTTACATTATGGATAATTTTACTAGATACCCATTATTTAGTTAAATATAAATATACATATAATATATCTAGGTATAGTTTGCACTGACCACCACTAGCAGTGCCGGGAAGTGCTGCCTCTGAGGCCACTTTAGTGACGGCTGAAGGGTTGTAGGTCCACGAGGTACCGCAGACTTCCACCTTCAGGTCGCTGTCGTGGTAGATCTGCTCCACGCGCCCGATCTTGCCTAGCGTCTGCACATAAATATTATATGTTTTTAACATACAATATATTTTTATTGTTCTATAACAGAACAAGTGAATATTTTTACATCGAATTTATATGGCTATAGAACTAACATATAACATATTATTAATGTTATTTAAGAGAAGAAGTACCTAAATGTTTGTACATCGAAAAAGAACGTACAAAAGAAAATTAAGAAAATTGTTCAAAGTGTAATGTTATGAGACGAATATTATGACATAGAATACGTAGACAAGAGTCTGTAATAAAGTGTCACGTTCAGAGTTTGGAAACTAATATAATATATAATTGGAAACTATATAATATAATCTATAGAAGTGTCCTCAATGATGTGTCTTGCCCAGAGTCTGGCAACGAATAAAATACAATATAGAACGCGCAAGAAAGTGTTTGATCAAGTGTGAGATGGGTACTAATTAGGGTACTGATTTTTCTTCTCAGTGCCAAACGCAATCGAGCGAAATATTACGCGTAACTAGCATTAGTTAACATCTCTAATGGTATTTTGGGGAGAAGATAATTAAGGAATTAAGGAAAACTTAATCTACTTTCAGCAATCATTTACTATTTATTTAACAAGCTTCTAAATATTTTATCCATAAAATATCATACACGAACTAAAAAACAGGAAAACATTTCCAATGCATACCGGTATCAAATTCAATTCTGATGGTATTAAATAACTTGAATAGTTTTGAGCAAATTAATAAATACCGGCAACATGGCCTCGGCCCACTCTCCATGGCCTCGCTGTAGGAGCTTGATGTTGATGATATTAAATAATTTAATTAATTATTTATCAACTTAATTAAATAATTTAAGCAAATTAATGCATACCGGCAACATGGCCTCGGCCCACTCTCCATGGCCTCGCTGCAGGAGCTTTATCTTGATAACATTAAATAATTTAATTAATTATTTATCAACTTAATTAAATAATTTAAGCAAACTAATAAATACCGGCAACATGGCCTCGGCCCACTCTCCATGGCCCCGCTGCAGGAGCTTGATGCGCTCCAGGTCTGAGCAGATCTGTACGAGGTCGCCTACATTCACATCGCTGGCCTCACTGCACACTCCTGTACATCATACATTCATTAATAACATAATAGAGATAATATAATAATCCTAACATGCATGTTATAATAACCATAACAGACATAATATAATAACATAATAGACATATTATAATAAGTATAACAAACATATTATAATAACCATAACATACATAATATAATAACAATATCAGACATAATATCATAACATTTTGGACATAATACAATAAAATAATAGAGATAATATAAAAACATAATATATATAATATAATACCATAACATTTATAATATAATGATAGGTATAGTAGACAATATAATAACATAACATATATAACATAATAACAAAACAGACATCACATAAGAACATAACAGAAATAATATTATAACATTTCATTGTAACGAAAATTTCGACAATTTACACCTTAGTATATTTTTTTATTTATCTTTAAAATGTTATATTTTGTAATGGTACGGTCGTACCGGTGGCAGCAGCGGCGGTGGCACCGGCAGCGGCAGCCGTGTTGCTGGTGGCGGGCACGGCGGCGTTGGCGACGCTCGTGCCGCCCGACACAGCGGCGGCGGCGGCGCCGGCGGAGTCTGTCGGGGACAGCAGCGAGTTCGGCCCGCCACTCCCGCCAACTTTGGTCAGCACGGCGGGATTAAACGTCCACCTGAAGAGCAAGTGGAAATATGTGTATACAACAATACAAAATTTCTCGATAATAAAAACATGTGTCATAAATACTACCTAGTTTTAAACTATTCCATGAGCATCAATATGACTAATCAATATTCCATATCATCAATATGACTAAAATATTATTATATTTAGGTATTATTTTAGTGAAATCATCAATATCACTAAAATATTATTATAACGCACCCGTTAGCAGAGATGTAAGTGACACAAAATAAGAACATAGGGACTAAAAGCAAACCATAATAGTTTATTACAATATACTATGATATGTTATAATAAATATGATTATTACATTAGACTTCTGATATTTTATTATAACTATGATATGTTATATATTATTGTAACCTATTGCCAGAGGGATAAGCGACCACGATATCGTGATCCTCGTCAATGCCCACGACAGTTCCCGTGGTGCCGAGACACTCAAACATGCCGTCCGTCCAGCCGCCGTGACCGTGCTGCAGAGACTGCACGATCTCCAGCTCCAGGTCCACGTTCACCTGAGACACGACTATGCATTAAAAATTGAAACACGACAGCGGATTTACGTTTGAAACACGACAATGCATCAAAATTGTAACACGACAGCGGATTTACGATTTTAACACGACAATGCATCAAAAATTGTAACGCGCCAGCGGATTTACGATTGAAACACAACAATGCATCAAAAATTGTAACGCGACAGCGGATTTACGATTGAAACACAATAATGCATCAAAAATTGTAACACGACAGCGGATTTACAATTGTAACACGACAGCGGATTTACAATAGTAAAACAACATCAGAATAACATCTGAAAACCATATTCGGCAACTGCCATAAAATACTAAATTCGAAAATGATTTACACTTTGAAACACGAAACGCAACAACTTATTTGAATTTCGAAACAGCAAGGCGACAACTGATTTACTTTTGAAACACTGACGCAAAAACTGATTTACGTTTGAAACGCAGACAATATAACTGATTTAATGTTTGAACGGTCAAAATCGCCAAGGTACAACAACTCTAATTTTAAAACTTTCCAAACGCATGAAAGAATCATCTATAACAGTTGACTCGTGCAAGCCCATGTTTAATAAAGACGTAAAAACTGATTTACCCTGAAATTTACTCTAATTAATGGATGAAACACTTAAACCAAACCAATAATAGGTATCATTTAAAAAATCAAAATAATATCTCAATAGTAAATTTAAAATAATTATAAATAATCAACTTTTCCCAAATTAGAAACCACACGCAGAAAGCGTGAGCACCCAAATGGCCAAATGCGCGGACGCTAGCGGTAAGGGAACAGCGTTAGCATCGCATAGAGAATTAAAGTGTAGAAGAAAAGTTAAAACAGCGATAGAAAATAAGAAATTTATTAAATAGGTCGCTTGAATTAGCCCTCTGTACGCATCAGGAATCCTGTCAACGCAAAAGCTTGAACCCACAAGTGAGACCTGCAGTCGACGTCTTATTGTGGCCTAGGAACACCGTAATTCGAAATTACGGACAACGTCATTACAAAAGACATTTGATGAGGCATGCATGAAGAAATCCCTTCTGAAGGAGGAAACCTAAAGATAAAACAAACACGTTTTCATACACTTCAGAATAACTGAAAATAATCCCGAAACCAAGGACGGAAAAGGCGCGATGCGTAACTGAAAATAATCCCGGAACCAAGACGGAAAAGGCGCGATGCATAACTGAAAATAATCCCGGAACCAAGGACGGAAAAGGCGCGATGCGTAACTGAAAATAATCCCGGAACCAAGGACGGAAAAGGCGCGATGCTTAACTGAAAATAATCCCAGAACCAAGGACGGAAAAGGCGCGATGCGTAACTGAAAATAATCTCGGAACCAAGGACGGAAAGGCGCGATGCGTAACTGAAAATAATCCCGGAACCAAGGACGAAAAAGGCGCGATGCATAACTGAAAATAATCCCGGAACCAAGGACGGAAAAGGCGCGATGCATAACTGAAAATAATCCCGGAACCAAGGACGGAAAAGGCGCGATGCATACCACTGAAAATAATTCCGGAACCAAGGACGGAAAAGGCGCGATGCGTAACTGAAAATAATCCCGGAACCAAGGACGGAAAAGGCGCGATGCGTAACTGAAAATAATCCCGGAACCAAGGAGGAGAAGGCGCGATGCGTAACTGAAAATAATCCCCGAACTAAGGACGGAAAAGGCGCGATGCGTAACTGAAAATAATCCCGGAACCAAGGACGGAACAGGCGCGATGCGTAACTGAAAATAATCCCGAAACCAAGGACGGAGAAGGCGCGATGCATAACTGAAAATAATCCCGGAACCAAGGACGGAAAGGCGCGATTCTTACACTTACTTGATCGCCGATACCCAGCCCATGGGGTCCAGACCGGCCAGGGTTCTGCTCGCCGAGGTGAGGCAGATGATCGCGATACACAGTGCCGCCCTTGGCATCGTTCACCACCTTCAAGTCCGCCATGCCCTCGAAGCCCACACGGTACAAGTTCTTCGCTCCGTTATCCCAGATGACGTAGGCAGCGGAACGGGGGCTTGCTGCCGACCAGTCTTGGATTTCCGAAACCTGAAACGTAAGTAATTTTGATGGATATGTTCCCGTATTTCCGAAACTTGAAACGTAAGTAATTTTGATGGATATGTTCTCGTACTTCCGAAACCTGAAACGTAAGTAATTTTGATGGATATGTTCCCGTATTTCCGAAACCTGAAACGTAAGTAATTTTGATGGATATGTTCTCGTACTTCCGAAACCTGAAACGTAAGTAATTTTAGAAATATGTTCCCGTACTTCCGAAACCTGATATGTGAATAACTTTGACAAATATTCATTGGTATCCGAAACCTGACACGTAAGTAATTTTAGAAATTTTAAACTGACGTTGGAGCTGGACACCGAAACGTTTTCTTTAGAGATAGTATGAATTTTTGTGGAGCTTTCTTCGCTTACAAGTTCAAAGTGTATAATTTTAAAATGCATTCCCGTACTTCCGAAACCTAATATGTGAATAACTTTGACAAATATTCATTGATATCCGAAACCTGACACGTAAATAATTCTAATGGCTATTTTCGACCATGGGAAAGAGACCAAATCGTATAATGTAAAATGACAAAATCATATAAAATAATGACAAAATCGTATAAAATGATGACAAAATCGTATAAAATGATGACAAAATCGTACAAAATGATGACAAAATCGTACAAAATGATGACAAAATCGTATAAAATAATGACAAAATCATATAAAATAATGACAAAAAAGTATATATATGTATAATAATGGCTAGGGTGTTGCCAGTCAAAGTTATAGTGCCCTCGATAAACAGCTTCAAGAACAGGTGTAACAGTTCCCAGCCCTGTACAGCTTCTGGTGTTACGAGTAATAAATAAACGCACAGCATCGAACTAACACTGAAATGCGCAGTGTGCACACGTGGTAAATGTTTTTAACCTATGAACAGAACCGGAAAGGACCCTTAATATCGTAATGTCTCAACGGACCTAGCTTTTTCATTGGCTCAAGTATTTTTCTTACAAATATAATCTTAGATGTTCGCATGAAGAAGTAAATTCAAATGTGCATATTCCACAAGATTATTATATAATTGAAACACAGGAAATAAATTTCGAACTTTATCAGTTCAAGCAAAACGACCAAGAATAAATAAGAAGAAGTCATGCAGTGACTCGGTGCCCGTATCTTACTTCCGGCGCCCGTACCTTGCCACGGCGCCCGTACCTTGCCACGGCGCCCGTACCTTGCCACGGCGCCCGTACCTTGCCACGGCGCCCGTACCTTGCCATAGCAATACGCTGGCGTCAGTTAACTACCTATATCAACCACTAACAGGTCACAACTGAGGCACCCTGACATCAGGCAATCCAGTGAGCAATACGCTCGCGTCAGTTAACTACCTATATCAACCACTAACAGGTCACAACTAAGGCACCCTGACAGCAGGCAATCCAGTAAGCAATACGCTGGCGTCAGTTAACTACCTATATCAACCACAAACAGGTCACAACTAAGGCACCCTGACGCCAGGCAATCCAGTGAGCAATACGCTTGCGTCAGTTAACAACCTATATCAACCACAAACAGGTCACAACTAAGGCACCCTGACATCAGGCAGTCCAGTGAGCAATACGCTGGCGTCATTTCACAATTTCAACCATTAAAAGATCTCAACAAAATCCACCTCTCCGTTACGACACTTCACGCATAAACATCTCCCTATAACGTGGAATGTGAAAATAGGTATAGTATCTCAGTAGGCCGCTTTCGTCAAAGAATCTTCTTTGAAACAATAGAACAACGAAAATGATAGTGATGCATTAAAAAACTAATTTCATAAGCCGAAAATTTCTATTCAAGAAAAAAAATCAAATTTTCATGAAGAAGATTTATAGGTGTCAAAAGCCTTCCTAAAACCCACCCCATTTGAGATTAATATTCCAAGCATTTCTTAAATCCGCCCCAGTCTCATTGATATTCCAAATTTCCTCAAATCCGCCTCAATCGAGATTGATATTCCAAGCATTCCTTAAATCAGCTTCATTTAAGATTGATATTCCAAGCATTCCTTAAATCAGCCACACTTGAGATTGATATTCCAAGCATTCCTAAAATCCGCCTCATTTGAGATCAGCATTGACCCACAATTGAGTTGGTTTTCATTTTTATTCTCACCGATCACATCCAATGGAAGGGATGCGATAAAAGCGGTGCCTGAGATGGTGCTTATCACCGTGGTAGCAGACAGAGCAAAGGTCGTAGTTGGAGCATTCAACGCACTTCCAACGAATACCAAAGATCGGCTGCTGTCGGCAAGTGTCGCACATTGTACCTTCATGCTTCACTCCTGCAACACAAAACACAAGAAGATTTATATTGAATCACACACAGACACGTTGTGTGTAACGTTGCAATACACAAATAGACTAGTGTTTAAATAATCAAATGGATGTTGTTACAAACACCAATTATGGGTTGCAATCGGCAGGTGTCGCACATCGTCTCATGGTTCACACCTGTGGCACAAAAGTGCAGTATGGCTTTTCGAACACTCAAAATTATAGTTATCACAAACACCAAAGATGGGCTGCTGTTGGCTAGTGTCTCATATTGCGCTGCACTCTTGTGGCACGAATATGCAGACTAAGAAAAATGAGTGAAACCTTGTCCAAATAGCTTTGCACTTTTTGCCCTTGTATGAGTCATCTTATTTCGGTTTGCTGTGGCCAATTAATGTTATATAATTTGCAATAACTTGTATCAGAATATTACCTTGATCTGAAAAATGTCTTTTGAGAAGGAGGGCATCAAAAAACTGGGAGGAAGGCATTGGATTAAAAATTTAGATTTCATTTTTCAACTAGTACATGCAAATTTAATTAGAGAAATAAAACACTGTTATTTCCAAAATTTGAAGTAAGATCAAAATGCAAGTCTATGTTCTATATTGAATGTAGGTTTTAACTGCCCTTTCTTTAATCAGCATAAATCATCTTAACATGATTATAAAATTGCTGGGATTATCAATCCAAAACAATGCTGAGCTAATCAGCAAGCATGTTCATAAACTTTCCATAAGTACTATAAACAGAAATGCTGATTAAACAGGCCCTATACACACATGATGAATTACAAGGCCTCAATTTTAAACTATTTCATCCTATTAGGACCTCCTCCAAGCAACAATCATTCACAGAAGAAAAGAAATAATTCCATAATAATTATGGGTGCAGAGCTTAAAACTGGGAGATCACAAAAAATATTACTTCTAAATACCTGTGGATAAAAAGTCGAGCACTTAGATCATAGGGAAATTTTATTCTAAAATATCGTACCCGTTGGTGCAGAGTCAAGCACTCTGAGATCATAAGCACCAGCACAGCGGTAGTTTGCGGCAGTTCCATTGTCCCACACAACAACAACTTCTTCGGGGGACTCAAAATTGCGCACTGTGCCAACATGGCCTTCTCCACCATCCTGAGAAAAGAATGAAGCAGGTATTCTAATAAATTGAGATAAAAATACATTTGGGAGATTTTAACTGAAAATCAAAATACAGATCAATAAAATCACATGCTAATCCAAGTTAATCCTAATTATATTACAATAAATAAATTCTAAAAGCCAGTTCTGGCTTTGAGATTAGAAAGTTTCCATACTGGATTGGTCGCCTGCCGAAGACCACCACTGCCCTGGAAGTAATGCATGGACCATCATGATTCCTTCCTTCCGGAACGTAGTTTTCAACACTTCTGGACAATCATATAGGCAGCCGAAAGCCACCAGACAGAACGAATCAATTGAATTAGACCAATCAGCCCTCAGGAGAAACAGTCGGTGATCGAATGGCCAAGCATTGTCCGCCATACCGCGAAAAAATTCTGCACCACTCCGACGTAGCGCGCCGGAGCCTTGCAACGAATGTGATATCAGCCACCAAGCCGTCCGTATCTAGGCCGTGCGTCGAACCAGCCCTCAGTCGAACGGCCTTTCGTCGAAGGATGATAAATTTTGGAACAGAACTATGCTTGCTGAGACCTAACCTCAGTGTGGTGAACGTAAAATTAGGTAATTTAAAAATGACCAAAAGTCATTCGATCTGTAGTCTTGTGGTGCACGGCAGGTTTTAGGCTACGCCAGAGGAGGAAAAAGCCGAGTGGTCGCAGGCTGTGGCGCGCAAGTTCCAGTTCGAGATGTAGCCATGGTATGAAGTGATGCTTCAACGCAACATTCAGTGGTAGAAGGCCATTTGACTCTAGGCTATTCGACTTCGTGTCTGGGGGATGTAGAGCTCAAAATATGCAAAGCAAAATGATGTCAAGGCTCGGCTACAGATAGCAGGTTCCATTCGCGGCTGATTGGTGGATGTCCGGAGAGATCCAAGGCATTCGATTCAGGGCTTATTGGTGCACAAAATCGGTGATGCACGGCTGCGCTCAAGAAATAACATCTCAGGAGAAGTATAATTAGAAATTGCCTCTGCCACAATTTTTTTTAACACGTTTTTCTTAGCTTAGCTTCGCGTTTGTTTGTTTGTTGTTAAAATTGACAACGAAAATTAGCCCACTTCTGATTGCTCTAGAGATCTGAAATTCGGCATGCAGGCTATTTTCGCCTAACAATTTCAGATACAATCATAAAAACTAGCAATTAGAGACCTAAATTAGCTTAATCGAGTAAAGTATATATATAGTATGACGTGCGGGCGCTCACGTTATAGACGAGCAGGCGCTGACGCTGCGTATCGTGGATACGTACGTCAAGTCATACTTAATCAAGTCTTAATCGTTTTCCTTGTGGACTAAAAAGTAGAAAATAACATACTTAAAAAAAACTTTTTAAAAAACCACGTTTTTCTTGTGGACTAAAAAGTAGAAAATAAATTATGGCTCGCCCCAAAAAACGTGGGTCGGGCTGTACGTTCACCATCAAATTTCCAAAATTCGTGTGTTGTGTGCTTTTCGCTTCAATCATATATCTGCCCGACACACGTTTTTTTGGAGCGAGCCATAATTTATTTTCTACTTTTTAGTCCACAAGAAAAACGTGTTTTTTTAAAAAGTTTTTTTTTAGGTATGTTATTTTAATTTGCCTCGACTCTAATATAATTATTAGATTCATATTTTTTTCATTTGCCTCGATTGCCTAATAGCAGCACCATTTTCCTTTACCGTACTTTAGATGCAATTTAGTCAATGAAAACAAATTTTATATGTTTTCATCAAAAAAACAACATAGTTTCATTGGAGTCTGACACAAAATATTTGCAGCAAGTACAGTGCTTGGCAGTTAACAGGAGCATAACAATGAACATTCAAAATTTCATGAAATGATAAATTTGTAAGCCACAATATTTCTCACCAACCAAAATTTTGAAGCTGCACAGTAAGACAAGGGCTTTTTGAGCACAGGTAAAAATGCCATGTACATTTTGTTAAATTCATGACTCATGAGTGAATTTCACCCTATTTTTTCATTTGGTAATAAACTTTTCCTAATATGAAATTTTCAGAGCAAGTTTCAAGCTACTATCCCAAGGTGCAGAGTTTGGTAAATGCATTGACAATTTTTGCATTTGTAGACCAAACACGTTACCAGCAGTACCCAAGATGCACCCCTGTGTCACCTGCATTGTTCAAAATGCATTGCAACATAATTTTCCTCAAAATTCTTACAAAATCAACTTTGATGAGTATTTCTTTACCGCCCCTGGTATTGTAGTAGACAATTGCAGTAGACCAAAAGTACTGAATTGTGGATTGTGCTTTTCAGCCTCATCCGACCAACCAGAAGCCAGAAATGTCATAAACAATGCAGCCACTGGTATATATACCTCCTGTTAATGGTTAGCGTCGCCAAAGATTTACAAATAGGTTCAATGCAATAATTTCAATCCAAGTGTGTCAGCAAGATCTCCTGAAGTGGGTGAATATCAAAAGATCTTTGGCAATGCATCAGCAGCAAAATTTATGCCTTCAGAAGATCTTGCAAACACATTTAGATTGAAATTATTGCATTTTAAATATTCGCCAGTCTTTGGCCAAATATTTAGAAAATAGTTGAAAATCTGAAAGACTGCAAGCTCACACAGTAAGGTTTCCGGTACGTTGGATGGATCATTATGCAGTGAAGCTTGTCCGGAAATCAGTTGCGATGAGTGTAAGCGTTGCAGTGCATGAAGAGTAAGGGAAATACTACGGTATAAAAGTTGTTAGCAGCATTTTCTTATTAAAAATTACCCAGTGACGCATCTTCAAAATGGCTGGCAACATTTTGGGCTAAAAATCCATATCTTGGCAATGCAGCTTGCAAACTCTGTACACTGGCACACAGGCATGGAATACATCTACATACATACATCTACGAGCTGCGACTGAATTTTTCGAGCCTTAGTTTTATGGACTTGCCAGCCATGATTCCATTTCTTCAAGCTGTGATTTAATTTCTTCGAGCCATGAATTCCATACCTTGGCCAATAAAAGTCATTAACAAGCCAGCAACCATAAACCTCTTACCAAGTCCCGTAGGTACATGTGTTACCCCTAATCTCTAATTTTACCCTAAAAACAGTCAACACTAACATTTGTCATCACTTAAGTGGTAACTGATCACGTGATAATGCAGTCTGACCGCTCTGACGCGCATCACGTTACTGCAACTACGTGATCTTTAAGAAAACATTTTAGATCAACTTGTTGCAATTACATTGTGCATGATATTTTGGCGGAATTGTCGAAGTATTGCAGATTACGGAAGTTTAAAATTTTATTATGTAAATGACAGGTTTGCAGAGTGCAAACTGCAATTTTTTCACTCAAACAATAATACATGATATTAGAGCTGCAAGATTTCATACCTACTAAAATTAAATGATATTAGAGCCAGGGTATTTCATAAAAAGATGAAAATTTTCCAGTTTTCCAGCCCTGCAGTGGCACATAGGTTAGTAAGGCCACCACTCTTTATAGTCTGCACTTACTTTGCCACTTGTCACTAAAAACAGTATTATACTTTTCAGAAATACAATTTGCAAGGTTTGATAGCCAAAGGCATTGCATAGGATGACTATAAAGCTTTTTTGATCTACTATGAAGACATGATTCAGCTTATAAAATAAATCATATCTATTGAAGGCTGGGAACTTAGTGCAGTAACAAGTAACAGGCCATGGTCAGGAAGATGTGCCAGGTGCGCGGGAATTTATTTGGTCATTTTAACGACCTGCGTGGTGCGCCATACTATGCTGGTAAAAAAATGCGCCGTGCGCTGTACTTTAGAAAGCTAAAATAGTTCTACTATTTTAGTTGACAATATACGCGAGTATATTGACTACGCGAGTCGAACTGACAATAATAAAATGTAAGACATGTCCGGGTTACTTCTGACTCTTCCGCTTGTCCGCCTTGTCGGATACGGAACGTACGGTAATCGTAAACTGTGGCTATTATACCTACGAAATTTAAACAGACGGTGTTCAGTGTTGCCATATGACTTTGGAGAAAATTTCTTCTAAAATAAAGTTCTAGATTTCTCATTCACCAAATTTCCATATCAAGAAAAATCATATATTATTGAAAGATAATTAAAGGCATACTGTACTGAGTAATGTGAGTATTACGTCTGTTCCTCCACAAACTGCTCGTGCGCGGCAGCACGACGTAGAATTGATGGCCAGGATTGCGCAAACACATGCGCGAAGAGGATCAATTTTCATTACATTGCGCCAAGTGTGCACAGCAATAGCTTAAAAAAAGTGAAAATGCATAGGAAAATTTACCAAAAACATATACACCATCCTGAGTGTGGGTAGCTAACAGGTTAACAACTTATCAGAATCCATGATAGATTAATTACCTCCTGAATAATTTTTAACAGAAGTGCATGGTTGTACATACATGATTCCAAATTTATTAAAAAGAAGCTGCTTTAAGGAAACCACATTTCATTAATAAGTAGCAAAATTCAAATCTTAAAATAGCTACAACACATGCAATGATGCAAACAATTTAAATTTTGCATCCCAAAATGGTTTGAATATCAGTTAAATTATTATAGTAAACTAACTCTAGGAATAATTTGTTAAAATATCTATTAGACTGATACAAATCTAATGAAATAAATTTTCTTTTATTCTGTGAAGCAAAGATTTTTTTGTTTGAACACTAACCTGTTTACCCCATTTCCAATCAGGTCCTCTAATTACTCTTGCACCAACTCCTTCCATCATATAGCGGGTACTCCTGCTGGCAAGTCCAGCAGGTACATCCATAAAGAAGCATAAGTTGCTTCTTTAACTCCGAATATTAATATCTCTACTTTTGAATTTTATTGAACAAACAACAGCGTGAATGAAAATGAAAACTTACAGAATAGCTAACACTGAATCCACAGACAGAACGAAACTCATGTAACTTTTTCTCTGACGTTTGTTTTGGTCATGCAGCAGTAAGTTGGACCATAGTTGTCTGAACAGCTGATTCATTTTTGCGGAGAAATCTACTGCCTGCTCAGCCAAAAATATGTCCCAGGCAGATGTTTTTACAATCATTGATATCTGTTAGTAGTCACAATTATAAATAACAGATCATGACTGTAAAGTAGTAATTATGTAAAGACCGTGAGATTTTTCTTTGAAGCTTATGTTTGTTCAAAATAATGAATTAGAATATAATAATAGATCTTAATATCAATTTTGCATCGACTAAAAATTGTATTCCATTTATTCCGTTAAAAAATGCGCCAATTATCAACAGTTACTCGTATGAGCGTAGAAATACTAATATGCAATCAATTTTTGTCATTGACTTTTCTCTGAAGTTTCTTGAGAAATAGTTTAACAAGCAGTAAATCGCACGCCAAAGACATTGTCGGACAGATCATGCATGTTCTCAAAACCAATGTGCATAGCACATCAGTGAAACAATTGAATAAAAACCCACGAGCTCAGAATAAACTCAGTTATAAAAAAGCCTTCAACATTTCTTACGCTATGAGGAAAAATTATTCGAAATAATTCGAAATGTGATAATTGAGATAATAAAATCGAATTTACTATATGTAAAGCAAACAACTGAAAAGCGTAGCACCATACGAGCCTTGCAATAATTCCAGCAGCTATCACAATCAAATCGTCAGCTATGGAAAGATCGGGTTCATAAGGCCGGATCCCTTGAGGAATCGAGTCACGAAAAATACAAGAATCGGCAACGGGCCGTGTGCCTATTTCTTCAGTGCCGACACTTCTGTTATATTCTAACTCATTATTACAATATTGCAAAGCAAACAACTGTTATTACAGTAAACCCGCCAGATGAATACATAAGCAATAAGCAGGGAAATAAAACTCTCATCGCAGGACTATTTTATTCATGGAATATCTCGGAGAGAAGTGTACACATTATTTGGAATGTGTTAAACTCTGCGTCAAGTTTGATGGTTGAGTGGCGAAATCACTTCCATCATTGTAAATAGAGTTAAATAAAATATCATGAGATCGCTTCTATAATGCAATACTGGAATATAAGATTTAGGAATATACGGAAAGCTGTTATATATGTGAATGTTAGAAGGAAGTCAGTATATGTTAGAGAGAAAACCTTTAGCTACGGCACGACTTGCACGACTTTTCGTAATTATCGCCCAGGGAGTAAAATTCACCAGACGGAATACTCTTGATCAGCATATGGATCAAAGATTGCCTGAATCCACACAAGAATATAGGATTTAATTGAATTAAAATAAGTTTACCCTGAATCCAAGGCATCTCGGTGAAAATACGCCGTTAAATAACCTGTACATTAAAGGGTGAGTGGCGCGAACATTTCTTTCTGTATATGTTGAAGTGTTCACGGCTCATAGCGTAAAATTTCATGCGGCTGGAAAATCCAGCCGGGAAAATGGGATATTAATGAAAAACAGAGCGTAAAATGAATAAAATTATCAGTAATAAACCTATTAAGGGTATCTTACTGGTACCTTTTCCATGCTTTTTATACGCGCCTTAGTCTGACTTAGCTGTAAATTTATCACAACTTGATAGATGATTAAAATACTGTTAAAAAATTAGAACCAATGATGAACGTAACAGAAACATTTACACTTTGATCAATGCGGACATGCAGAGCATTTTAAAATAACTCTTCATAAATAATACGTTTAACATAAGACAAAATATTCAACTAATTTTCAATCAGGTTTTTTAAAAATCATAGTCAGACTTATACATCTAGAGAAAATCAACAATCGCACTGACTAAATGTAATGACTGAATCTTTGGTAAGCCGGATGCTTTTTAATAAACACTTACACTGATTAATTGCGATCAATACCAATAAACTATCAAATTCGACTATAAAAAGGAGACCATTCAATAAGTATGTGCGTAATTTAAATCAATAGATTGTCTATTTATTCACAGCGAAGAGTAAACAGGAGTTCGTCTATAGTCTATCAGGACTAATGAAAATACTTCACAATTTTTCTAATTCGATCAGATTTGATCTAATGCTGGTACATCACATGAATCTTTGAATAACCATTTAGGATATTAATCATGCTAAAAATAGTACATGACATTAAAATTAAAGTATCGAGTGAAATTAAAAAAAATTGGCGTTATAGATGGAACTAATTTTACCAGAGTTCAAAATAACAAAACGATGCGTAAAGAAAAGTAAGTTTCAAGATTGTGCTGAGGTTTGATATTCATTAAGAGCTATTGCATTAAAAGAAGAGACGTACGTATTGCCAGCGAACAGAACGAAATATCGGAAAATATTAGAGCTGGATTAGAAATTATTCAACTCGATTACGGTTATACTGAAAGCAGCTCAAACTCATGAAAACTGCAGAAGCAGATTACTCTGTGGGAAATTAAGAGAAGATTAATCCGAATAAACTGGGAAAAGATTACACTGTAAAACACCGGTATTAGATTTTACTAAAGAAAACTGGAATTAGATTCCACTAAAGGAAATTGGTAGAAGATTACACTGTAGGCAAATGGAATTAGACTCCACTAAAGGAAACTGGAATTAGATTTCACTATAGGAAACTGGAATTAGATTTCACTATAGGAAACTGGAATTAGATTCCACTCTAGGAAACTGGAATTAGAGATTTCACCACCTAGAAGAAACTGGGATTGAATTCCAGTATAGGAAACTGGTAGAAGATTACATTGTATTAATCTGTTAGCTGATGTAGCTTATGACTTTGGTGCAGGGACTTTGATGGCGTAGCTGCCGACCATGTTGCCAGGAGGGTTGTAGTTGCAGACGACATAAAGCTTGCCGCTGCTCTTGTTGCGCGCCATGCCTACACCAAGCTCTCGGGAGTCTGCCCACACCACCTGCGTGAAGTGACCTGCGAACCACACATATCTTAGCTTCATGGAAATACAGATTTGTATACTCGTATAGTGTATTTTTAGGTCAATAATGTAATAATTTCAGCAACCTGCGTGAAGTGACCTGCGAACCCCACATATCTTAGCTTCATGGAAATACAGATTTGTATACCCGTATAATGTATTATTAGGCGTATAATGTAAATTGTATAATGTACTAATTGCAGTAACCTGCGAACCACACGTATCTTATTTTCGTGGAAATCAGATTTGCATACCCTTATAATGTATTTTTAGGTGTATAATGTGAATTTTACAATGCAAATTGTACAATGTAATAATTTTAGTAACGTGCGTGAAGTGATCTGCTCATCAAAAAACTTTTAGATTGATCGAAATATAGTTTTGAAAACGCGTATAGAGTGGATTATAGTGTATTATGTGAATTTTATAATGTAATAATGTGAGTATAATGCGTGAAACGACCCGCGCGTCACGCATATCTTAGCTTCATCGAAATACAATTTTGTGTACTCGTATAATGTATTTTGCAGTGTATAACGTTTATTGGAAAATTCGGTTATTTATTTATGACACACATTTTATTCTTTTTATATCAATAGAAATTAAGACCTGAACTCACACTGCCAGTATAAAAATTAACTGAAAATATTAATTCATTAACATTGGAAAAGATAAGTTAATAATGAATTCGGTTTAAAAACAATTTCCCTGTCGAGTGTGATAGTTATTCAAGCAAGACATGAGTAATATCCGAGTGTGCGTGTAAAATGAACAACGCTCCATGCAGCATCGCTATACAGCTTGACGTCATACAAATAAAAAATTATTCCCACTTGTGTTAAAATCGAATTTTACACTCCAAAAATCTGAGCCCAAATAAATGTATATTGTAAACCAGTTTTAAAAAGATTCCCATGTAATCCGGGATAGAAAATATCATCGATTGGTGATTTCAGTGCTTGAAGAAAACAACGACAATTTCAGAATAAGTGCAAAAAAAATTTTAGTGATTTCTGGCAAGAATCTAGTTCTAAGCCAGCGTACAATAAAATGGGCAAGATTCAAAATTTGGGCTTAAGCATCATCGTACATATGAACACAAAAATCGTTAATTACTGTTGTAAATTGATTATTGTAAATTGATTAAAAGTATTTACCGGAGACCATGGACCGAGGTTCCTTGCCGAATACGTGATCCTTGATCTCGCTGTACCAGGAGTCAACAGGCTCAGCTCCAGAGATGGTGTGGTTAGGAACAGAATTCCACTTGGAGTAAATGTTCTCGCCATAGTCATTGTTGGGGCGGTGCTCCATGCGGTCTTTCTTGGCGATAGTCTTCGCCCAGTCTTCGGCCACCTTGTTTAACTGCAAGCAAATACGGTTCATTCACACTCAGAGAAATGCATGGGTATACTGTTCGAATAGTGACACACTTAGTTGGCCACCGCACGAGCTGATGTACTCATTTCCAGGGATAAATGGGTCAGAATGACCCAAATAAAGGCCCTAACTGCATCACTATTGGGCCAAAGTCTCTGTAATTTCTGTGATTTTAACACGGAATACAAGTGAACAATAATGATGGCTTAGAAGAGCTGAAAAATGAAATTACAATCGACTTAGGGAAGTAACAATAATTGTGCATTAACGAAATAATGCAAATATAAGCGAAAGTAGGTCGCTAAAAGTAGCGAGATATAACTGTTCTTAGAAATATTCACGATGCAAGGTAGTGGTAGTGCAAGGAAGATTTCTAAAGTTTAACGACGTAGTTAAAGTTCTAAAGTTTAACGTTCTAAAGTTTAACGGATAATTGTTCGACGTATATTAATTATCATAATTGTACATTTTACATACGATAAATGTAATTTATTATGAGAAAGGAAAACTTTTCATTTCTTGGGAAAGCAAAGATAGTTTTAAACTATGAGGATCAACAGATGAAATCCATTGCACTTCACTGCTGCGCGGTGACATAAATTACGGGATCAAACATTTTTCTTTGAATACTTTAGGTTTAGAGTATATAATTCAATAAATAACTACATGAACGTTAAATAACATTTAAATCTACGGTGCTACAATCATATTTTACATTTTAATTACTCGTCATATAACCTAGACTAAAATATTTGCACCTTCTTGGAGATGGTGAGCGGGGCAACGCCGTGCTTGAGGCGATATTTATTATGCGCCAATAACGTTTAAATCTACGGCATTGCTAATATCTTTTACATTTTAATTACTCGTCATTTAACCTAGACTAAAATATTTGCACCTTCTTGGAGATGGTGAGCGGGGCAACGCCGTGCTTGAGGCGATATTTATTATGCGCCTTGAGAACAGCTTCAGCGAAGTCCTCCTCTTCATCATCGCTGCTGCTGCTGCTCAGCACGGCGCTCTGGAGCTTGCTCGTCACGTTGCTCAGGAGGCTGTCTTTGGGGAAGCCCCTGACACAATTAATATTATTTTAATTATTTGAATTATTACATTTTTAATTGTAAAATAAATCTTTATTCATGGAAGTGGCATTCTTAGATTATCGCGAGCTACAATTACTGTATTTTTAATAAGTTATAGATTGTATTATTTACTGAAGGAGTTACAATTTCTTACTAACGCGATCTTGAATTGTTTAGGTTTTAATTGTTAGTCACACATATTATCATTTACTGAATGAGTAACAATCTTTGATTACTATCGTGAGCGGAAATTATCTCATATTCAATTATAAGCTATACACATTATTTATTGAAGGACTTGCAATCTTTTATTATCGCGATCTTGAATTGTTTCGTTTTTAATTATTAAGCAAATTATAATTTAGTGAAGCAATTCGGTTATTACACGGGCTTCATTTTCAGCTACCGCCTGGAAATAACTGGAATTTTTTCCTAATTGAAATTTCGATGAGAAGAAAGTTCACGGCTTAAAAGACATACAGCCAAGTAGATTGAGTTTATAATCGAACTGCCGTTGAGTCCAAGTAATCCGACGTAAAAGTGGTTTTATAGGAAAGATCGACTTCCGCTCGCATGCAACACGCAGTAAAGACGAATAAAATTCGTTTAACTATCTAGTAATTTAAGCGAGCAAGAATCCTCGATTACAGAACATTGGAAAACAATGAACCATTATTAATTGAACATACTGACGATTTCGTATTGTGAAATTTATTTACTAAAATGACTATTAGCTTTTCAGGAATTTTTGCGTATCATTCCTTTAGTGGCAAGATATATCAACAAAAGCGGGATATTTTACCGCGCTCTCTCCCTACGGAAATTATCTCTTCTCCTATAAGAGAACATTATGATGTTTACACCATAAAACCATGAATATGTATCAGTTCTGTATCACGAATCCGGAATTATGAATAATTATGAGTCTGGCTTATAAGAGCCCGGTAACATGCCACGCATATACGTACAAACTGGAACCATTCGATTAAAGAGTTAACGTTTCGGGAAACTCTTTAATGCATGATTAATTTAGGGCTCAAAATTCTGTATACTCTGAATAGAATAATATAATTCTGAAAATTGATTTCACGAAAAAACAACAAATCTTAGAACTTTATTGCTGAAAGGAATTGCAACCCATATGTACATTATTCATGATAACAAGGGTCATGTTCATACTCTTCCTGCTTTAAAACTCTGTTTTATCTAAATTAAGCCCGAATTTATATTCTTTAATTTGTCGCAACTGACCCGACAGGAGGGACTTGCTGAGCAAACTCTCCCATCCAGTTGCCCTTTGGTGAGAAGAAGGCGACGAAATAGACGCTCAAGCCTGACTTGGAACTGGCGGTCCCGAAACCAAACTCCTTCGTATCCTTCCACACGAGCTGCGTGAAGTGTCCTTCGAAAAAATATGTTTGTAAATAGGAATTGCTGGTCTAAACTCCTTCATATACTTCCACGAGAGCTGCGTGAAGTGTCCTGCGAAAAATATGTTCGTAAATAGGAATAGCTGGTCTTAACTCCTTCGTATACTTCCACACAAGCTGCGTGAAATGCCCTGCGAAAAAATATGTTTATAGATAGGAATTGCTGGTCTAGTGTCACGCTATCGTAGCTGGTTGCCATTGCAAAAATTTAACTCGTGCAAAATTTTTGCGGCTTTGCAAAAATTTCAACTTCGTGTCTTCCAAACAAGCTGCGTGAAGTGCACTGCGAAAACCATGTTTGTAAATAGGAATCGTTGGTCTAGTGGCACGCTATCATTGCCGGTTGCCGCTTTACAAAAATTCTAACTTGAAGCATTTGAACTTGAGCATTTGAAAACAATTGGCGAGACGATTACAATCGAATAACAAAAATATTTTTTAAAAATTCCGATTGAAAACTTGAATGTTTCTTCATAATTTCATGCGTTAGTTTCATATCACACTAACCAGAGTCCAGTTTATATTATACTCACCGGAATCTAGCTTTCCACCTTGAGGCTCCTGGCCGAACTTGTGGACTTTGATTTCATCGTACCAGTTGTCAACGGGTGTGGCCGCACATATTCTCTCCTGCGTAAAATACCCAATCAATTTTAATGCAAATTAACTTAAATGAAAATTCAGAATTTGATTTTCCAATTCATGACTGAAAAATCGTGAAAAACACACGACTTTCTTTTACGTTGTCCTTTCTATCGTTCATCATTCAAATAGGAAATCTGTAATTTATTGATGCTCGTAAGTAAGTATAAAATAAATAGGTTCCAATAAAAAATGCTCAATGCAGGTTTATGAACTTAAATGACAACGAAAATGGACGTCTCCATCTGCACTATTTTACTTACATTTACTGTAACGATAGTATTACAAAACCTGCTAACTCACTACCAGATTGTATGGGCACGAAGGCGTTCATCTTATATAGTCTGTAATTGAGGCCTCAAAAATATGAGCCCTAATTTTAAGTTAAAAACAACGTCTCCTCACCCAAGTGATGGCAACGTTGCTGCTCAGCTTGTAAATATTCTCTCCGAATTTCTCGTCGTTTTTGTGTGCCATGGCGTCCTTCTTGGCTAATTGCTCAGCCCATTTCTTGGCTTCTTTGTTCAACTGCAGAACAAAATAAACAGTTATTAATAAAAAATTACTGAACAGTTCATACAAGATAGTAATGTTAGAGTAATTAGAGTTGCACATTTAAACATTTTTGCTAACGATCATGAGCAGATTAACACTCGTGAACACAAAGCAAAAATTTTGAACGATGGCAATTGTGCACAAAACAAAAAGTAAAGCATGATCGCAAAAGAAGCACATATTAGTGCAGACACAAACTGCACAATTATAGAATAGCGGTAGTAGTACTCACCGCTGGTAACGACAAAGCTCATGCATTGCTTTACATTTGGATTTATGTGCAAAATTTTGAAGAATCGGTTCATAAATTTTAGAGTCCATCCATTTCTTGAACGAAGTAAAAATTTAAACAGCGGTTAGTGAGCCGGCGATTACTGAGTCGGCCTCTTTGAAAAAGTTTGTTTCACCAAATAATCGTAACAAATTATTTCCTGTTCGTTTGTGCTGGAGAAATTTGTGAATTTCAAGACATATTTTATAACATAAGTGAAGCTTTCGTCAAATTTATTATCAGACAAAATAACCGATGCTCCAAAGATGGAACGAATTCATGTTCCATTTCATTGCATATGATGGCCTATATGATGAAGCGATCTAGAACATAAGAAACAGTCTAAAACGTAAGTTCTTCTCTACTCAGAGAAGTAAAACTTTAAATGAAATTAAAGCATCTTCAATATTTTTAATATGATAACTAGGCGGTTAGAATATATTTTTTCCTATACTAAACTACTAAACTGCAAACATTTACTTTCTTTAAAAATTTAATTGCACTTAGTTAAAAAGGCACGATATTATCATTCTGTATCAAGTTTGGATACTTCCTAAGTAACTAAGGATTGATGTTCAAGTTCAACAAGCTTCTTAATTTTTAAATAACATTAATCAACCTTGCCCATCTCCTGCAGATGGTTAATAAAAATTATTTATTTTTTATAACAACCATTTATGTTTAAAACGGGAAAAAGTACAATTTTCGTCAGTTCAAGATGGGATTTCGTGCTGTTCAAGACGGACCAAGTACTTATGTCTGCAATGTATCTTGCACGTACTTCAAGAAAATCTACGCTGTACACTGCACATTGAATGTGTACATAGCATGCATTCCCGGTAGTCTTGAAACCATCTCATCACTAATATACCTGGCTGTCCTCATCACTACATTGAGGTCAATGCCGTCGTTCATCGAACCGGCGAACTCTGCAGTGTAAAGTTCTTCCCGTTGTCTAAACATCTATTCGCGAATTTCCACCTTCAAGGCGGAAATTCGCGCCACCTTCAAAGGCCTTTAAAAAATTGTAAATTCTGCATGGCAACCTTCGATAGTATCAGCACTTCACAATTCGAAGATGTTTTGTGCAGGACAAATTGGACTAATTCGTCCGTCTTGTCTTAAAATTGTATTCAGCTCTAAAGAATAGCTTCCTACATTGTTTTCTGGAAAAAATTTCCCTTTTTTCACATTCATTGATAAATTAAATGATATCAAAAGCGCATTGAGTGTTGGATGTAAGTTCTAATTCTTTGAACTAACGGCGCATGAAATAATTGCATCGATTTATATCCAGTTTCGTCGGTACTTATATGAATTAGTAATTTAGTTCACTTTTCTCAAATTATATATTTTTATGATTTGACAAAAAGTTAAAGAATCATTAAGTCATCAGTATTTACATTTACCCTCAATACCTCACTGATGTGTGCTTTTATTTCTATACGTTTTTTATTTTATTAATAGTACTATAGATACTAAGAAGAGAAATTCATTTTTAACCGCAGGAATACTCAATTCAGAACCAAGTGGGTAACATTCACCTGTGAATCAACGGCTTACCTATTTAACGTGAAACAACCGACGGCTGATCCGAGATTGTAGGATTGTGAAGGATACTACCTCCAAGAATACAGAATTCCTGGAAATTGTGCGGCTCTACAAAGTTAAACTTGTGCCTCATAGATTACTAGTGAAAAAGTTATATAATTATATAGATTGAAATTGATATAATTTGCAATACTCGTGCCAAATCCTGATTTCGATAATTTCTGGATTTCACTCAGCAAAGAATATGTAATATCCATACTTCCTGGCTAGCACGAGATAAAAATGAATCGATGCTTCAGTTTCTTTAAATAATTAAAGTGGATCTAGCAAGAGGTCACGTCAACGAAGGTCAAGCGGGACAGATATGAAGACCTTGGCACACTTGCGTGCAATCGATGCCATCAGAGGTGCCCTGCCACAGCAGTCAGTGAGCACAGCGTCATGGTAACTTAATACTCTAATACTTATACCCTAAATACTGTAGTTTATTCTTAATTGCAGTTTTCTGGGCTTTACAGCTCGTTGGCTATGAAATATTGGGTCTAATTCATAGGACAAGGTTGATTGAGATGAAAGATGCAGGAAAAAAATGGTTGACACAGATTTCGTTCTTGTTTTCTTCATGGCATGTACAAACGTACGCAAATAGTTCTGATGAAGGAGTAATGATATTGGAGTGTTTCTTGTGGTCACTCCTTTTGCATTTCATTTCCTTTGTTCGGCCTTACCAATAAAAAAATTGAAAATTCGAGTCTTTCTTGATCAACCTTCCTTGCACTTGTTTGTATTTATGTGTTTCTTACGGTTCTGTATTATAAACATTGCAATGTGTTACCATAGCATCGCACCGAACCCACACAATTATCATTAAAGCTCACGAAATATACAGAGTGCAGAATATCAAAATTAATCCATGTACTAGCCAAAATAGCGGGTATAGTTAAATTATAAACGTTTACTGACCTCAGGGCTGAGTTTGAGTGCCTTGACGCCGTGAAGCGTGCGCTTCTTGTTGATCTGAACGAGCGTCTGCTTCGAAAGCTTCTCGTCTCGTTCTTCTTCATCGTCAGAGCTGCTAGCATCCTGAACTTTGGTCTTGAGCTTCGACAGCAAACCTTTCGAGCCACAGTCCGTAGCGCTTGCCTGGAAACAAATTTAATCATTTCATTATATACAAAAAGTATATTTGTATAATGATGAGCTTCGATAGCAAACCTTTCGAGCCACCGTCCGTAGCGCTTCCCTGGAAGCAAATTTAATCATTTCATTATATACAAGAAGTTTATATATGTATAATAAGCAATAACTACTCAAAAGCGGTAGATCTCAATCCTTTTACCTAGCTTTTATGGGTATATTTATAACATTTTAGAGGGAATTAGAGTAGTTAAAAAACAACGTTCAGAAACGGTAACAAAAATTATGTAGCTTCAAGGTAACAGGATTGTTGTGCCACATTAAACGAGGTAAAAATATAAAAAATTTGAAAACCACTATGAAAAAAGAAAAGATATCGATAAAAACTCCAATAATAACTCCTAAATAGAACCATACTACAACGTCCCATTAAATCCTAAACTAATCCTCTTGAAGGCTTAATGCTACATGAGCTCAAATATATGTACTTGCAAATATTTTAATGACTTTTAAAAATATTTGAAAAATTACAGCTAATGATAAAACCTCTATTAGTCTCCATCAAGAACGTCCAAGTCGGACTCATTTCACAATTGAACTCAAACTAATGACATTTCACAGAATGCATATCTAAATTAAAAAATATTATTGTAGGGAACAAAATCATACAGGGTAGAAAAAAAACTGAACATTTTTTTCATTCAAACGTTGAGAAATACTGTTGAGGCGCATAGGTGATTGAACGCTTTTATTGGATCTGAACCAAATAATATTCTTCTTTTATAACTTAAACCAACCTTTTTGGAGCGGACTGGAGAAGGAGATCTACTGCTGCTGCTGGAAGCGTGATCTTCTGAAAGATGGAGAAATTTTTTTAAGTAACTGTAATTTCTGATTTGTAAGATTTCTGTAATTTGCGTCTTGAATTCAATTGTTAATATCTTAAAAATAGATAGGATACGATAATTACATCGTCTTCATTAAAGCAAATCTACGCATGAATATTTTTATGGACAAACGAGGAAAAATCTTAGCATGCTTATGGATTCGTGTTGCTTGAAAAAATATCACATGCATGCCGTTGAACACGTTTTCCATTTCGACAATAATTTCAACATAGGTTATCATGCACAGCTTGATGTAATACATACTGTAACTATTACATTAATAACAAAAAAAAAACATTCTGATTGGGGAATTTGCACAATTGCACAATGCACACAACTCACTAGGAGGCCCGGGAAGTTCTTTGGTGGTGACTTTGGTGGAGGTGTTGGTGCCAGTCTTGTGCTCCACGACCGTGGTTTCCTTGGTCTCCTGGTACCACTGCAGCGGAAGCGAGCAATCTTCAATTTGTTATTATTTAAAGCCACACGCTTCTATAGAAAACGACATCAATGTATGAATAAATTGATTAACTACTCTCGCAGAATAAAACATCTTTCGTCTCCTGGTACCACTACAAGCGGAAGAGGTTTTCTTCAATTACTTATTGTTAAAGGTTACACGTATCTATAGTATACGACATTAATGTATTAATTGATTAAATGCTCTCTCTGAATAAAACCTTTGCATTAAAAAAAATAGTTCTTATCAAATTATAGCAACACGTCTTCATAAGAATATATTTGTCCGGCTTCTCTCGTTTCAAAGTACGAATTTTATCTCCAAAGCTTTGGTTGATAAAAATATTCTATGTATTTAAAAAGAAAATTTTGCCGCAATTGTTTGCACTGAAGAATAAAAATATATTTGTTAAAATATATATGAACGTAAAGCAATAATAATAACTATTGCAATATCAATAATAAATATCGAAATTTGGATCATTTAAAGGATTTACCTTTCCGCCCTTCTGGAAGGTGCGAGTCTCAGTGGTGGTGGTCGTCTTGCCCATCCTATAAATTTAAGAAAAATTTATTTAATTAAATATCTCATCAGATAATCTATAAATTAGTTATTGAATAAACATGCACTTGTAGAACACCACATGCACCCAGATTTATTTGCTTACTGAATTTAATTTTTCTTGAATTATTAAACAAATGAAAATTTGTTTACTTACTTTGCATCGACTTTGGCAACGAAGAAACTAAGCTTCCGTGCAAAAACTGAAGGCATTTTGATAGTAATTTTAGTCACCAAATCTCTAGAACGTATTTAAATTTTTATGAAGTGGATTTAGAAGGATAATATCTACACTTATTAATATCTTAACTAAAATTTGCTAAGAAAAACTTCTAATCAGGACTGAATACACGAAAGTATAAATACGTCTAAAAGTTAGGAATCAAGGGCAACTTACTGAATTTACAATTGATTCAGTATAGTTAGTTCCTATTATGTGAACTCGCATAGTATGTTCTTGACAGTGTACTTAGTTTTATTGCTTCACGATGAAAGTTCTTTAAAATCTACCTTCTTAAACGATTTATGCTTTATAAGCGAGCATAATCCGTGCTACACCATGTTCATAAAAGTCAAGCAAAATTTTTATCGCGTTTCGATAAGACCTGCATCGGCTTAGGAAACCTATGTAAAACTGAAAAAAATACAACTCAGTACTCACTACAGTGAGTGACAGAGAGCGCATTTTCTCGTCGACGAAAACGTGACGTCACGGACGGACAGACAGACATAGCGAGCACAATAGTGCATTTTTTTCCATAAATGAGAAAATGCGCTAAAAATATTTAAATTCAAATTGTGAGCTATTAGGAATGTTTAAGCAACCCCAACTTGATAAACATCAATTCAATTCGCACAGGAGATTTCGTGAATAGTACCAGTGAAAGCTGATCTAGACACTTGACAGCAAAACGAACAACATCCGCTGCTCTTAAAGGAAAAGATAAACGGACAGACTGAGTTGAATGAAGGTTTACATCCGGACTATACTGGGTTGCGACGTTGAGAGGCTCAATGTACATCCACAGGTTCTTCAAATATGTATTAGGAATAATCGCTGATTAAAGGTAATGAATAAAGAAAAAATTACAACATCGGATCGAGAGGCCTGATAGGCTCCTCCATTAATAAGCTCGAATCGTGCATAACATTTACGATATTTACGATATAAACATCTAATATACTTTTAAATTTGCACGAGGCACAACGGTCTATAGTGAACGTTTTGTTCTTAATTCGTGAAAATTAAATCTCCGTTGTATCGCTACTAATTCATCGAAAATAACTTCAAATGAATATTTGAAATTAGTAATTCATATATAATTCACATCTCGTAAAATGTGATGTTCGAAAATACCCAAAGAAAATAAAAATAAAGTATTATAAATGACATGCTCACTAGCTACAAATAAAAAGAAACAATATATTTGCAGGATTAGCCTGCAAATATATTGTTGCAAATATATTAGCCAAGTGTTGATGAGTCTGTGGTTTAAAAGTGAAGTCAACGGTCAGAAACAAGCGACATTGAGGAAACTTCCGTGGCTTGCGCACTTTGTGACGGCCTTGCAAATAATTTCTCTGATGTTTTAGTACTTCAAAAGTTGTAGTGATACAATGTAATGCTTTAAGTTATCCGTTTGAACTAAACACTCTAATGATTTGTTGAATAAAATGTAAATAAATCACAACATTTTCCAGAAAAACTACAGATAAATGCTTCCGTGTTAAATTTTTTAGAGTGATGCACATATGATGCAATAAACTACTACCATTTTCCGGTTCTAACAGCATATGGTGTTAGAACCGGAACGATACACGTCACCTCAATTATGTATTTTTCAACTGGACTTTGCCTCTGAACAAAAAGCATGCGGAACGACGATCAACATGACCAGGAAATAGTTAGGACGAAGAAGCAGCTTAAAACAACAACAGCAAAAAACACGAACAGCAAAGGTTGTTCGGTATATCAAGGCCAGACTTGAACGTGACTCACGGAACGGAAGAAGACATCACAATACTGATCTCTATGATCGTTCTCGATAATACAGATCATTAATGCTGTTCTGATTGAAATTCAGCCAATTTCCGTTACGGACCTGATAAATTGAATCGATCGTTCTCGATAATACAAACCATAAATACTGTTGCGATAGAAAGTCAGTTGATTTCCAGTGCTGACTAAACGAAATGGATCGATCGTTTCCGATGATATAAACTAATAGTGATATCATGATTGATTTCCGTTGCGGGCTTGACAAATTGAATCGATCGTTCCAAATTGAATCGATCGAAGTGTTGTTTTAATAGGATATCTATTGTTTTCTATTGCGGACGTGACAAAATGGATCAATGAAGTTTCTTAGGTCGTCCCACATGACACAAAGCAATAACGATCTTCCGATTGAAACTCAATTGATTTCCTTTATGGACTTAACAGGATATGTAAATTAAGTTGCTATGGGGTTAATATCAGCCTCAATCCTATTCATTAGGCGGTGCTTGCAAGTGGTGATGCAAGTCAATTACAACTGCTACGAGATTATAATTCGGGGGAAATGAGAGCTCAATGTGGGCAATCACAAGTCCGTGGTTGAAACGAAGGTGAAATAGATGCATTACTTCAGTGGATGTTGTTGCTCATTATTGCAGCACTCCAATCAGTATAGATTTGAAAAGAAATTTATACGGACTCATTTTGATCGAATATCATAACAGAATTTGATGGTTATGAGTTTATTCATAATAGAAATGGAGTTATCACTTGGGTGGTGGATAGCTTGGTAATCAAATGTCATTAATTCAAGTAGAGCAACCGAACACAAGACCGTGACTATAGTACCATATAGCTGATATTTTTTATCAGATCCTGTTTTGACGAATGCTGTAATATTGTGTACTTTTTCAAAGTAAATATGGAATTCAATTGGCGGTAGTATTTTTACTTTAAATTAAAAATGAATTTGTTAAGCCCCAAGAAGGCGCTAATTTGGAAATAAATATTGATTGGTATAAATACGTGTTGCAATTTAAAAACTCCGCACAGAGATGCTATTGAAGCTTCATATAGAACACTTTTGTTCAAGTTTTTTTGGTCTTATGTATAATGTCAAAGGAAAATTAGAGTAGAAGAAACAATTTTTGACCTTCGTACATCAAAACTTTAGCAAAATGATTGAATGTATTGATGTACTAGAAAAAATAATCACAGCTACAGTTATTTTAGGTCGCATTTATAACCCAGTGTGACCTGCTTTTAATCGGAAATATCTAAAATTTAATTTAATAATAACTGCTTTATCTTGCACAGTTAGGGAAAACTTCTGTAACTGTCAGTAAAATTAAAACGAAATTCTGGTTGCTTAAATCGCCAAATCTTGATAGCACTGATGGCGTTTACAAATTTACAGGCCCAATGAAAGGAACACTGTAACTTAGAATTTGCTCCAAGGAGATAAATGGAATTTAAGGTGCCAATGCCTAAAACCAACCAGAATTTTTTAAAATAGTCCTCGTTTGGATTTCTTAAGCAATTAAAATGAATCCACCGTTTTTCAAATGAGAATGCCTATTTTCTTGAAATACTAACATAAATCTAACGTCTGATCGCGGTCAAAATTGCAATGTCAACAAAAGAAACTTCAATGAAATGGATGTTTCTTAAGATGATGCGTTCAACTACTACGAAAATAGAAAACTCAATGTGTTGAACATCGAGAAATATGAAACTAAATATTCACACACATATGAAAACAATAATGAAGTTGTGATTAAAAAATGTAAACAGTGCTACTGCTTATCACCGGAGCCGCGCACGACGTAGCACGCATGCTCTCCGCACCGCATTTTAGATCATACTGCTTAACGAGTTCGTTGTGAGTGAGACGCATGACGCATGACGCATAACGTAGGGCGATTGGATCACTTTAAATAACCGCATAGGAACATACATACATGCAATCTTACACTCAAGCAGAGATGTAAAAGATGTCTTAAGCCAAGTCAATGCCATAAACCTTCCGGAGTGCATGTGTATTTTTATATTTGAGCCTTAGAAGCCTTCATTCAAACTCAATTTCACCGATCTGATGCAGAATCTTGTCGAAGGTCAATTGCACGAGTTCAGTGGAAACGAAGGCATATTAAAATTGAATAATTCCATTGAATAATTCCAAAATTGTTGATTGTAATACGACAGTTGAAATAAATAAAACTAAATTATTGTAATGCTAATGTAAATCGTTCACTCTTATCCAGATGATTGAAATTAATTGTAGATACCAGCTGTAAAAAGTTTTAATTGGCGTCCAGGAAATGCCACAATGATTCAAGCAAAATACTGAATCAGAAATATAAGAAGCAAGTCAACGAGTTACGGCTGCAGCCGAAAAAAATCACTTGGGATATTGTCGTCGCTCGTTGTCTGTGATGTGGAATGTAAACCCAAAGAAGAATCCAAAACTAAACCACAAAAACTGACTGGCGCTTGTCAGTAGTATCGTGCAGCCAAGAGTGAAGTAACGCTTGGCGTACATAACGAATTTGGGAGTAGGGGAATTTGACGATCAGTTAATTGTTTAGAAAAGCGATAACAAAGTTTCTAATTATAACATGAATATAAATCGTATAAAGCCGCATTGCCTCACCAAGAAAATTAACTGAATTCACAAATTAAATTTTCCAATTTACTTCACATTACATTGTGAGTTAAATCATTCTATCCCCTCTACTCCATATTTAAAATTTTGTTGTATTTTATAGTCTTGTTTCATAAACGAACACAATCTTTTAATTGTTATTCTATCTCTTGTGAATTGGTATAAGCATTTATATCTACATTCTAGGCTGATTGCTCATTTTATCCAGAAATACGTTTGGACATGACAATACGTTTTTCTCGCTTCAACACTTTTTTGCCAGCGGTAATTTCAAGCTCGCTTTTGCTACACTGTTAGAAAAATTACCGTTAACGGTATTACCGGCGTTT